GATTGCATTCTCCTGGCACAGCTTGAAGCGCTGCAACAATAGGTGGAGATGGAAGTGCACATCACTCCTCCACTGCACGCTCAGCCCTCCTCTGGGTAGGAAGCCTCACAGAAATCATCTCCAGCGATGCAGAAAAAGCAGCACTCCCAGTCTTCCCAAACGCCAGGCAATCCGATGGTATCAGATGGAACAGGCACTTCCAGAGCTGAGCCCAAACAGCAGTGACTAAGCACTGCATCTCGGGAGGAAAACAAAGCCTGCAACCCAGCTGGAGCAAGAGATGCACATTGCTGAATGCACCGAGTGGCCTTGCTCTAACACGGAGCAGATCTGCAGGAGCTACCGGAGCAAACAAGACGGCATCAGTACAGTGACACAAGTCTATGTTTGAAAACCTACCTTAATGAATATTCCCCAGTACAGGAAGGATGTGGAGCTCTTGGAGCGGGTCCAGAGGAGGGCCACTAAAATGGTCAGAGGGCTGGAGCACCTCTCCTATGAGGAAAGGTTGAGGGAACTGGGCTTGTTTAGCTTGGAGAAGAGAAGGCTCTGGGCAGACCTCATGGTGGCCTTCCAGTACTTGAAGGGAGCTTAGAAACAGGAGGGGGAACGGCTGTTTGTGAGGGTGGACAGTGATAGGACAAGGGGGAATGGTTTTAAACTGAGACAGGGGAGGTTTAGCTTGGATATTAGGAGGAAGTTTTTCACACACAGGGTGGTGAGGCACTGGAACAGGTTGCCCAAGCAGGCTGTGGATGCCCCATCCCTGCAGGCATTCAAGGCCAGGCTGGATGTGGCTCTGGGCAGCCTGGGCTGCTGGTTGGTGACCTGCACACAGCAGGGGGTTGGAACTGGGTGAGCACTGTGGGCCTTTGCAACCCAGGAAAGCCATTCTGTGATTCTATGAATATACCATCTATAATTTTAAGTTCCAAAGCTGTCATTTGCAATCTGTGTTTCTGACAGAACAGGTAGGCAGAAGGAAGACAGACATTTTGAGAGAAGGATATCCAGACAGGATGGGAAGAACACATTAAAAAGCCTCCAGTGCTCTGAGAAAGCACCAGTGGGAAACTGCTTTGGTGAAAACAATAAACTTTGTATGTTGATTAAATGGTCTTCTTCCTAGCACCATCACCAATACGTAGATGCTGCTTTTCACACTGTTTCTCTTGCTGTCAAGCACACACAAACGGAACCCCCCAAACCCAGTCCATCAACACAGAAGTAAGCAGCTATGCTATAAGCCACAGAAACGAGGCGTACCCTCTCAGTGCCCCATGACCACCACCTTCTGCACAAGCTTTTGGAAGGAGATATGAAGCACAGCTGTATGCCTTAGGAAAACAATTCCTCTTTTTAAAGCAACCTCAGCATACAAGCCCTGGCTGGCTGCTACAGCAGTTCTGCAGCAAATGGAACCCTTTATTGTGGAAGGTACAGAAGGGACATCCCAGCCTCGTGGAAGGAGCTGCGTTGCACTGATGCTTCCCAAGCAAACTAAACATAACTATCGTCTATCTTCTTCCTGAGATAATGAGCAGCTTAAGCTACCAAGAAAAATCACCCCCCAAAACACACACACACACACACACGCAAAGTTCCAGATCTGTCAGTCTTGTGCTGCTGCTTCTCTGGAAACAGCCTGACCTGAAAGCAGCACAGTCCGTAGTCACGGGGACTGAGCACAGCACATCATGGTGCATCTGTCCACATAACAGCAAAAGGCAGCAGGCTAGAGATTGCTGCAACTCGTGTCTGGGTGTGGGGAAAACTCGTGGTACAGAGGGAAAGATTACTGGAAAGGAATCCCTCAGCTCTTGGTGCCTTTGGATCCCATCAGTTCCATACAACACCACACTTAGCTATGAGAGCTACCAACATCCCATAGCTGCGCCCTGCAGTAGCTTTCCTACAAAACGTGCCCAGTCCTCATGCAGAAGCAGTGCTCAGCAGAGCTGGAAGGCTGACTGAAGACAGTAGGGGACAGAGACCAGCATCAAGCACCCAGATAGATAAGGGTTCTCCTAGGGGAATGATGTGCTGCACATCCCCTGCAACATTCTGCAGCGAGGCAGAAGCCCCATCTGAGTCTGCATTCGACATCAGGCAGGCAGGAGTGCTTTGTAGGAGGTATTTATAGACACGCCACGAACAAACCCCTGCAAACAGACTGCCTGTGCACCACGAGGCGGGGATGGATGCCTGCCTTTGTCAGGAGCACCACGTACCACAGCCCATGGAACAGGAACACAGCACAGGATGGGCTCTCACCATATTCTTTGGGTTTTGTTGAAGCTGTAATCTATTTGCTACTGTGGCTTTGGGTCAGCTGGTTTGTTTGAAGGTCTCTTAACTACAGCTGCTCTCAGCCTACAGGGATCTCTATACAGGAGGGGCTTATAAATGTGACTTTTTTACATTACTATCAACTCTGACGCACAAGAAAATAAAAGGTAAAACATCTCCAAATATCCCATAACCTGTCTGCAAAACAACACTGTAAACAGCAGCGCCATTTACATCCAAAAGCATACAAAACACTGCTCAGATTCCACCCCAAGCCAGCCATCGGTTTTTGGTTTGTTTTACCCCACAGAACACAGCACTGCTAAACCACAAGGACCACGGAGCTGCGGATCAGGTGACGATTTATTTCCTTAAGCACAACGGTGAGCCATGTGAAACACTTACAGGTGAGCAGCAGCATTATCCACTCTGCAGCAGGCAGCCCTGCCTTGCCCCACACCATGCTACGCCAGGGGCATCAGTCCAGCCTGGTCAGCTCAGCAGTGGGGCAGAGGGGCTCCCCATGAATCCCAAAATGATATGCACCCAAGGCACAGAGGCCTCCAGCTCCTCTGTGTGCAGGTGCTCATGAAAGACAGCAGCCAGGGATGGGGAAGCATTGAAGGAGCCACCATCAGAAGCCTGCTGGAGTTGCTGGCTGGGGCAAATGGCTGCACGTGCTCGAGTAAGACTGGGAGAAGGTAAGCCAGCAAGGAAAGCACATTTCTAGGAATGTCAGCCAACACAATCAATCAGAAAGTCACCTTGAGGTTGCAGAGGAGCAGAAACATAAAATGAAACTGCAGTCTGTTGGGATTACGGTGGAGCTAACCGCAAAAGAGAGCCATGCATTTACCACCATCACCTTTGGCTGCCACGGTTAAAGATGAGAGGTGTATTAAAGGCTATTTATTCTACTTCAGAATTTTAAGTATAAAAATACGCTCTCATTTTGTGTTTCTCTCCTTCCCGTTTCCTTAATCGCAGAAAATACTCAGCAAGGCACCTCAGCCCTCCTGCCCTGCCCACACCTCCCTGCAACCCACGGTCAAAGCACACAAGCACCCATGGAAGAGGTAAGGATGTACAACCATGGATCATAGCCTAGCTGCAAGGCCTTCCTGATGAGCAGCTCCTAAACAAATGAACCCAGGCATTGCAGAAAGCTTCACTCCTGATGTGGAAGAGAAACTCACACCCACTGTTACACTTCCTCCATTGCAGCTTGTTGTCAATAAACGCCGAGTCCCGATCTTCTGTTGTTGCAAAACTTGCTCGAGGCATCAAGAAAATGAGAGATGGTGGTGAGAGGTTCATAAGCAAAGCATCTCCCACGGTCACGCTTTAGGGAAGGAGAAGTAACTTCATTTGCACTTTCGTGCAAGAAAAAAGGTAGAGATTTCCTTTAAGCATTCAGATTTTAGTTTTTCTGATAGGATGAGAGAATTCCTACGAGCTTCCTTCGTTCTTTATTATAACAGAATCCTTCTTATCAACATTTTCTGCAACAAAAAGTAAAAGCTGCAATGCAGTGTTTTCCAAATGCCGTAGGAAAACAGCGCTGGGTTTTGGTTTGTTCCCATCCTGTGCAATGGTTCTGAGGGCTTTCAGACTGCAACGCTGCCATTCAGATGGAAGCCCACAGACTGAGGTCTCCTCCCCTGCCCTGCCCTGAGCAGGGTTCCTGAGCAGGAGAAAAGCAATCACCTCCCATCTCCACCACAAATAGCTTTTTCAAAGCAGTGCAGTCGCTGTCATCCACACAACAAACTCCTGACTCACAGACGTGCGTTACGTACCTGCACGCAAAGGAAGCAACCCAAATTCCACCATGATCAACACCGTTAAGGGGGGTGCTAAATTTCAGTATTTTAATAATGGCTTTTAATACGCGCGAGGGTTTATTTAAGGCGGAAAGAAGGAAGATGTGAAGCAAATGGCAGCTGAAGGCCCCGGCGGTGCCGCAGCCGCTCCTCCCAGGGATTGATACCCGATGAGATCAGCCCATTGTGAGCGCTGCCTTGCCTAGCTGCAAAGGGCTGAGGTAAAAGGGAAGGGAGAGGAGGCAGTTAGCTGTTCCTGCCCACAAACGACTCGCTTACGACAAAACGACGAAAAAACCAGTTATTTTAGGGCTTTTTCTGTGTGAAAGTCGCAATAGATGCGAAGTTTTAATAAGAAACCTCACGAACCATACGACCGATGATGCATTGCTTTCTGCACCGTTACCTCACTTCCAGCGCCCTGCGCCAGCAGCCCCCCGTGTCGGTCCGTTACTGCTTTACCTCAGCCGAAAAACCCCTCAAACAGCCCCACAAAGGCACGGGCCGAGAAACCCGCGCATCGCCCATGGCGCAGGCACACACAGGGAGCGCCCGGACAGCGTTCAGAGGATGCTGGGAACCATTCCTTCTCCAAAGAGCGGTACGGCCCGACAGGGGGGGCACCGCCCCTGGGGGCGTCCCAGAGCCGCGGGGCTGCGGCACCGAGGGCGACGTCGGTGGGGCTACGGAAGCCAAGGCTGGAAGCGCGGCGGGATGCGATGCCGACGACGCGCCGTCCCCGATCGCCCCCGCCGCCTTTGTCCGCCCCCCCGCCGCCCGCGCAAACTTTCCCCGCGGCGCTGCCGCAGCACAGCGCGGTGCGAGCACGCCCAGAGCCCGCAACGACATCGCTGACATCAGCCCCCCGGCCACAACGCGACCACTCACCCCGATGACCACCGTCTCCTCGCCTTTGAATTTAGGGATGAATTTATCGCCGCGGAGGATCTCCGCCTCGTTGAGGGGCCGGAAGCGGCACATCACTTTGATGCTGCACTCGGCGGGATCCGCCATCTCGGCGGCTCCGCGCTGCGCGGCGCTCCTCCGCCGGGCAGGTGCCGATGCCGCAGACGCCCCGCTGCCGGCGGGAGGGGAGGGGCGGGGCGGGGCCGGGCGAGGCGGGGAACCGCTCGGTGCCGCTCAGAGCCGGCAGCGGTCGCGCATCCCCGCTCGCCTCCCGCCCCGGCGCGGCTGCCGGGCTGCAGGAGCGGCGCCTCGCCCCGCCGCGCCCCCGGGGCTTTGTGGCCGCTCCGCAGTACGCCTGCCCCGCCCGCCGCGCGGTACGCCGGGAAATGGAGTCCGCGCCCCCCGCCCTCATCGCGGCTCTCGGCCCCGTGACCGAGGGACGCGGCTGCTTTCTGCCCCAGGGATGGCTGTGAAGCTGCTCTTCTTCAGTCTATCAATTGAGCTGGCACAGGGCAATTTACTCCCTGCCGTTCTATTTATTACCCTGAAATTCCGTGAGGGAAAGCAGAAAGCAGAGCAGCGCAGAGCAAAGCTCTGACATGGATACAGCACCAAGAAGGCCGGCAGCGTGCAACCTGTGAATCAGCATCTGGAAAAAAGAAAGCTGTGCACTCCCTACAGCTCTAAAGCCATATTTCCTTATTTGCCAGAGGTAACCCTGCCTCATGTGCAGCCCCAAGGCTTCAGCCAGCTCCCTCCATTAAAGGTACCTGGAACAGTCTGATCTGCCACATCAGGTCTCCTCCATCATTACCTCCTCCCTAGGAGAGCAACAGGATGAGAGGTGATGGCCTCAGGTTGGGCAAGAGGAAACACTCCATCTCCAAAGAGCAGTCAGGCAGTGGCACAGCTGCCCAGGGAAGTGTCCCAGAGCCATGGATGTGGCACTGATGGATGTGGGCACTGGGCATGGCAGCAAGGGCCTGGGGAGCCTGCAGCTCTTTACCAACCCTGTTATCATAGAATCATGCTTGGAGATGTGCAATCAGTGTTGCTGCTCTGGGGAAAGCAACAGGACTGAGACAGCACCCAGAGTTCAGCAGATCCAAGCAGCTGCTGAAACAGGATTTCTCCAGTACCAGTCTCACCAAGTTTGGCCTCAGTCACACAGTTAAATTGACAGTGGTCACATCTGTGATATTTCTACAGAGATTTCTCTTTCTTGAAGCCACAGTGGCTGTCCTCATTACCTGATGCATTGTGAGAAGAGCAAGCAAGTTGTTACAAAGGCTCTCATGCCCTTCTTAAAAGTAATTACATCAAGGAGAGTTAGCAACGTGCAGCATGTGATAAGGCATTACTATATAATGTGATTTATTCCTATGGATTACCAATTATCTAGCCCTTTCATTTCTCTTATGTTTCAAGCTCTTGCAGTGAATAGCAAACTCGTAAGTCATGACAAGTAGAGGCTTAACCATAAAAGAATTAATCCATATTTTTCTCCACTATTGAGAGTTCATTGTGGAGCAAGATAGGCAAATCCGTATCTCCCTGTTAGAGTAGGTATAATCTGCCATCAGTGAGAATGCTCTCAAGAGCCATCTTTTCTCAGCAGTGTTGTCAGAAACAATATTGCATTGTACTGCAGACAATACTGCATGGTCACTAACCTGCTATTTTTACTACTTAAGTCCGGATTACTACGAGTTCAGCAGCCTGAAGTCAGAACGTTATTTCCAGTCAGATCCAGGAGCAATCAGAACTTCCTTAAGCTTGAGAGCTTCTTCCAGTTCGCTCAGGATATTCTGGCACCTCACTTACAGAGCCTCAAGTGACGGAAGGTGTGACCCAGTTTGATTTTTGGGTGGTCCTCTGTGCAGCTGGGAAGTGGACTCTGTGATCCTTCTAACTCAGGATATTCTGATTCCATTCTATCTATAGTTTACCAGGAAATATCATCACAAGAAGCAAACAGTACACAAAAGCATTCATACTCCAACTCCTGTAAAGCATTATCACTGGTACCTTCCTCCATTGCTGAAGGCATGACTCTTTTCACATTGCATACTTACAAGACACATCACTGCAGCAGTGCTGTTTGGCCTCACTGAGCTACAGTCCATTAGGACACAAATCCTCTTGCTATACACATCACACACATGAAACAAACCTTTCCCTACAACTGTTGGCCACATTCTTCAGCTAGATATCAAGTCCATGGTTAAAATCACCTTGCCTGAGTTAGATATGGTTTGACAGCAAGTTCTGGCTGTCCTGAAGAAATTCTCAGGCTGACCCAACCTCAGCTGGGTAGGTTCACTGAACAGCCTGGGATGACAGATCTCCAAAGGGAGCAAACAAATCCCTCCTCTAAGATGGGGGCAAAGGGGAACAACCATAGCAAAGAATAAGATTCCTTTTCTCTGCAGAAGAGCCACCAGTGTCACCAAGCTGCAGCAAAACAAAAAAGAAGGGAGCTGTGAGCAGAGGTACTGAACAACAGTAAATGAGGATTCTGATAGAGACGGCCCTGCAGGAATAAAGGGCATTTCAGGAGTGAAAAAGCTATTTCCTATCCCCACAGCCAAAAGAACATTGCTTCCTTTCACCGCTGCTGGGCTCCAGGAACAAGCAGTGGAGTTGGGAGATGAAAGAGCTTCAGGAGAAAATGAATAACAAGGTTGAATTTCTGCTGTCTTTAACAATTCAGTACAAAGAACTGACATCAGTACTGGCCAGGGGAGCAACTTATCAGCAAGGAGAGCAGCTTTAATGTAGATTCCATTGATCCTGATGCATCAGCAACAGCCATCAAGATGAAATTTGATGTTTTACCTGTGTCATCAGTGCTGAGATGCATCTACAAAGAAAGAGGTGGTAGAGGATTTATTGTGGGAGGTACCAAAAGGGCTGGGATCCAAAAGACAAAAGGAAGTTTAATTAGCAAGGATGGTTACTATCCCATAGACATCAGAAGAGACTGTAAGGAAGGCATCAGAGAGAATGTTACAAACCCAAAGCATGCTTAATAAGGAATGAGTAAGTAAGTAAAGAAGCCAAGAAGTAAAGAGCAAGCAACAAAATGAAGAGTGATGAGAAAGCAATTAGGAGGAACAGAAACAATCTCATGCCCAAGCATCACCAAGGCAAAGGAGGCCTATGAATAATTCTGGAGGGACTTACAGACCTTTGTGCAGGCAGAGTACCAGGCTAATAACCAAGATCTGCATAACTAACGCTAAGTCACTCAAGATGATCTTCCCCTTAAGCCACGTTTCCTTTGATCTGACATGTAACAATTTCTTTGTTGATCAGGGGCCAAAGAGGTTTCTTTTATTCTCCCACAAGCTGCCATCCTTTTACTTAAATAAAATTTATGCTTCCTTATTTCACATTCCAGCACCACCTGGAGCAGTCAGACAGAACCCTTACAGCTTACAGTTATTAAGAATAAAACAAGTAAACAATTGAAGCCACCACACTTCCAGAGAAAGGAACCGTTTTGAAACAGAGTGCTGTCAGTCAAAAGATACCCCACCTGAAAACGTCTGAACTGAGAGCAGCCACGGCCTCCCAGCTACCAAACACTTCAAGATATGCTTACTTTAAAGCATTTATGCGTCTCCTTAACACAGAGAGATAAATCTCAGTCTTCAAATAAATTATTCACATTTTGCAGTTGCCTCTTTTGTGCTCACCCATCTGTAAAAATGGTTTTGCTTCAGAAAAGAACTGATTTTTATCACTTTGCATAAAACAGCAAAAGCATTTTGTTACTCAGATATCTTCCCAAGTTACCATCTTCCCGTGTTACTGACATAGCCAAAATAAAAGGATTGTAACTTGGAAAAACAAAATTTATCTTCCTTTATCAAACCGACACTTTGATGCATGAAAGTCCAGAAAGAGTTAAACAGCACTACAGGCAGATGATGCCATCTTCTGGTGTCGTTTACAAAGCTGTTGATTTAAAACCACAGTGACTAGTCTAGTCAGATCATCATCAGGAGGATGGGGGGGGTGCTGTTAGCTTTAGCATCATGTTATCCCCAGGGCAAAGTTCAATGAAATAACATTAATTCAGGAACAGTCAGTGAAGCATTCACAGCGATGGTGGGAAAGCCAGCACTAGGCTGCCATCAGCTCACAGCTCACTGCCACCAGCCTGTCCCTCAGGGGAAAGGCAGGGCATATGGGGCTGCTGAAGCAGGGCCTTGCTGCCAGACTTACCATCAGCATCTCCATCAGCATCAAGTCTGAATTGCTGCTGAGGTTTTGAATGTGTGACTATTAGCCTTGCCCAGCCTTGGTCAGTCGACTGTTGCCCCTCTGACTTCTTTTTGCTCTTGTTACTAGATTTCCACTAGTTGGAACCATATTAGTTTATTATTTTTCCCACGTGCATTCCTGAATAGGTAAGACCTTGTCAGAACGAGAGTTACAATGCTGCAATCAATCTTTTATTTGTCAGAACTCTAAGGGAGTGGCAGCAGGTGGCTGTGTACTCCAGTCAGACAAAGTATTTAGGCTGATCTATCTGTTCTGCTCCCATTTTCCTCTTATCTGCTGTAGTCTTAATTGCCTCCTCCCTTCATTTACTCCTTACTCTCTAATTGATCTTTCTACTTTATCCTCCCTGTGTAATTACATTTGTATTAGAGTTAAATCAGTGTGTAATGGATTGAAACAAGATTGGACTAAACAGATTTTCCTGTTCTTAGTCACAGAAACAATCCTATCTTCAGAAACCAAGCAGCCTACCGGGTGCAGGGGAAAAGCTATTCTGCCACAGATAAGGCTCAAAACAGCTCTCCTTTTTCTGCACAGGATATTTTTGGGCAGTTATGTCTCTTCATCCATGTTTCACATCCACTCCTCTAAGAAGGCTCTGTATTCCCTGGCAAGAGGATAAGGCACAAGCTAAGTAATTCAAGCTACGTGCTTAGAACAACGGAGTAACTTCAGTACTGCAGCCTTTTTTGGACTTATCACATTCTCAGCCAAAGGACTTTACCAAATAGAATACAACACTGATTTCATTTATCTCAGAATTACATCTTTACAATCACCTTCTGGCCATGTAAGTAAAGCCTTGCAGAATATTTACCCCAATCCATTCCCATTTCATACATACGCTATTCTCACGTTACACTGACTTTGGAGAGAAATGCTGCCATTACATGCACTTACAGCAGTTCACAAATAGCTGTTAGGTTGTCAAAGTTCACTAGCAGCAGTATAACTGGGTGTCTGTAGCATAAGCTCTGTTAAAAAGCAACAGAGTGGAAAGCCCTGGTAATGCAGTAACACCACGATGTGCTGGGATGCACAGCAGCCACCAGGGATGTGCTCCCCACACTGCAGCCTAGCTGTCCTTTGCCCCTGCCATCTGCTACCATCCTGTGGGCTATGGCTTCAGGTAATGCTGCCCTACCCTGAAGCACCCTGTCCTTTGCCCAAGAACCCCTTCAATCAGCTGTCTGCTTTAGTGAGCTTCCCAGGTACAAGTGGTTCCATGGTGGAGCTCCACTGCTAAACTGATGCAGGGTGGCTTTGGCTCATGGACTGAATTTGCCCATACTGAATGTTTCTAACAGTGGCACCAGAAGAAAAGCAATTCTCCTCTATGTGCCCTTGTTCAAATGTAAACATTTGGATCTTAAGAGCTAACCCAACTCTTACTACCTGGTCTGCTGCTACACATTTCCTCTAACTGTTCGGAGATCTCATTCAATTTCTTCCCACCTTCTCTTCTGAGTAACAATTCACTATGAAGACAAAGATGTCGTTTAATTCATGAAGGTAATTCTCCATCTCTTTAAGTCTGAATATAGTGAAACCTAAAAACAGAAGAAAAGAAAAAATAGAGATCTGACATTTGAGACTCTTCATCTGAAGTCTGTTGACATGAGTAGCCTGTACAAAGTTTGTTGGCTGCAGCCTTGAGAGCCTTCTTGTTTGAAGGTGTGAATTTCTACCAGGACACTTTATTCCAACTATATCCTAAGCAGTTCTTCCTGGAAGGTACTGGAAACTAAGAGCCCGAATGGCTGTGAACCTGGTACTGAGTCCACTGCAGGATGAACCAACCAACCCCACAGGGCTGCACCATCTGAGGATTCTGATTTACAAACAATAACCATAAAAAAGAAATAGGAAACATTTCTATTATCCCCTACACTGGAGTCAGAAGTAGAGAAAAATGGACTAGCAGGGAAAGAAGTCTCAAAACCAGAGCCTCAGCACAACAGCAAAGCATTGCAATGAGCATCTTGTTTGCTGGGGAAAAAAGCCAACCTGCACATATAGTCTTGTCCAGGATTAAAGGAATGAGATAGTTCTGTAAATAGAACAGCATATTGGTTCGGTGATGTTTGGAGAGAGGAGGTAAAGTACTACAGCAAAATTAGAAACAAAGTTGGGTAATAACTTCGCAGATTTCTAACACTCTCACACTGTGAGACCTTCTATGGTCCAGCAGGAAGGAATGGAAAAAGCAGCAGCAAACCTCTAGATTGCCCTGGAGTTGGCTTGGAACAGTTCTCTCATCAGGTTTGCCAGCAACTGCAAGGCTCAGGAGACAAAACAGGACCTCTGGAGGCTCTCAGCTTCAAACATCGAGCACTGAAGCCAAATACTAACAGTCTGAAATCTAGTTTGACTCCACCTGAGCACATTTTCCTACCCCCGTTAGAACAATCATTGTTTGGCTTCAAATGGTGAATATTCAAAATCACAATGCCTACAGTTCAGCACATATCAGAATTCAATAGTTCATCTACAGATTAAAAGCATTAAACAAATCTAAATAAAGAATCATTGTTTTCTGTAGTAGGAAGGAAGATTCAGCATGTCACACTCGAAGCCCAATACAAATTGTTACAGATAAAAATAATCTTACCTGAACAACATTTCTACAGAATATAGCACTGCCCATCATTCTTTTTTGGCACTTCAGGCCCACAGTTAAAGACTAGAAATTCTTACAAGGACTGTTAGGAGTTCTATGTTATTGTAAAGCCACATCAATGCTAATACTTTAAATGGAAGTTATTCAACACATGGCACACTCTCCTTTAGAGCTTACGAAATCCTTTTCTCCATCTCATTCTTCCAGCATCTATTAAAAGTTACAAGTGCCAGCAAAAGGCTTTTTGCAGTAATTAGATGAGGGTTAGGCTACATGAAGTCACAGATACACGGCAACTGTAAGGAGATTTTTAGTCTAATGTACCATGGAAATGATCTACATTTGCAGTGGGATGAGCACAAACTACAGAGCTCAGGAGTGCTCACTTGCTAAGAATGCAGCTTTCAATCTGCAGAAGACATTACTTCCTATTTGTATTTAACCACAAAAAAGCTTTGGGGCTAAATTAGAGAATGCAGTTCTTTTTTGGTATCGCTCCCATATGCAACATTTCTAGCTTCCAAAAAACTTCTTACTTCAAACTACATAATCATGCAGTCATTCCCAGAAGTGAACGGTGTTCCACAGAAAACCTTAGGCACACATCAGGAAAGGCTCACATACACATAATGGGCAGTGTATCAGAACGTGGAAGTTCCAATAAAGGCACAGTGAAGAAAGAGCAAAGAATGAGTGCCTCCCCTCGTGCTGAGGACCCCAAACCTGCCATCATGCCTTGCCTCATCAAGGCAGGAACACTGAAGCATCAGGAGATCCTCCATGTATTCCCATGGATACATTCTGATGTTCTCTCTCTCTGTGGACTTGATAGCGAGGAGAAAATAAAGCCTCAGTTAAGCAAAAAAGAAAAGTAATAATAGACATCCAAATTTCTGACAAACTCCCCATATTTACAGCTCTGCAAGTGTTTAGCTGTCAGAATTATTAACTGTCAGAAGCTAAGATAAAACATGTTTAAGCACAACATAGATTAAAAGCAGCTCTTTGTACAAACATTTAACAGGAAGAATATACTGACTGTATGGCAGATAGCAAAAATCATACTTCTACTTTTTTTTTTTTTTTTTTTTTTTTTTTTTAAAGAGATGCACATTGTTTTCTTTTAGACGCTCTCAAGAAAGCAAAATGCTAAACTAGAGTATTAACTGCAGTCCAACCAACAACAGCCCTTGGGAAAGAGCACGTGTCTAAGCCTACATCAGCCTTGACAAGGGTGGCAGTTCATAGAATCACAGAATGGCCTGGGTTGCAAAGGACCACAGTGCTCACCCAGCTCCAGCCCCCTGCTGTGTGCAGGGTGGCCAGCCAGCAGCCCAGGCTGCCCAGAGCCACATCCAGCCTGGCCTTGAATGCCTGCAGGGATGGGGCATCCACAGCCTCCTTGGGCAGCCTGTGCCAGTGCCTCACCACCCTCTAAGGTTCCTTTGGCAGAACAAGAAACTGCTCATTACCCTGACTATTTCCAAGTCTCAGGTTCCAACTGGAGGATGATCTTTCCCTACCACACACTTCAAGAAAAAGAAATAACCACACACACCAAAACCTTCCGCAGAATTAAATACAAGCACTGCAACCAAAGTCACCATCAAAAGACCACTGATGTTGTCTGAAATTCCCACCTGCACTGCTTGCACGATGTGAAATAAACACATATGCAACGTGTCCATGTTTTGATATGTATTTTTATTTCCCTGCAGTTTTCACTTATCAAGAACAAGTAACAGGGAAAGTTGTCTGAACTAGTGCATAAACAAACATTCTGAAACACCACTACACGTATCTAATTTACAAGAACCGTATAAAAAAAGTCACTAAAACACTACACTACGAAGGTGTCCAACGCTTACAGTCAGACTTTTTCCAACCCGTTACTTGCCTTGTAGCCACAGGAAAACTCTCCAAAATTGAAAAGACGATCTTGCCACAACCCTCCCTCCCCCCCCACCACCTGGGATGGCTCGATATCTAGACATCCAATAATTATTGCAATGATATATAATGCAATACATACCTGGTAAAATATCCTTTACGTGGTGTGTTACAGTTTTAAAGCCGGTTAAAATATGCAGTCTTCGGATAAAATGTAATTGGTTGAAAATTTTCTCTTATCTGCACAATTTTACATGTGCTAGATGCATAATTTTCCTAGTCAGGTTTTTTTTCTTTCCTGTGTAATTATTTTTTATAAACTGGTATTATAAATAGAAATATACATTCAAAATATATGGAAAAGTGAGTTACTACATTAAATTTGCATGTATCGATCCATCCCTTTCCCCTGCACAGTAATAGAAAATACTATTTTGCCTTGAACTTCATATTTGACAGTGAAATGCCACTAAAGTATTTACCAAAAAGTCCATCTAGTCAAATTGTGAAACAAAATGAACCAAGTGAAAACTTTACATTTCCTTTAGAAAAAAATTACAAGAATTTTGTCTCCTAGCTATGAATCTTTAACTTTTTTTTTTTTAGACACAAAGTTGGATTTATTTGTACAAGATACAAAATGTAAACATGGCAAAATAAATAGTTAAAACAAGTGATGCAGGATCCCATTTCATGCTCATGATCCCATTAAAGAATTATTTTTTAATCCATTCAGTTGCAAATTCAAGTGCAAAAGCATGATGATGAATATCTACTATTCAAGTAACAGAAATAATATTGATGATACAAATAAACTATTTTACAAGGTAGTGATTTTCCCAATTTTACAAAATTTACATTATATATCGACTTAATACACGATATAAGGATAGTCCATTTAGGTCCATTTTAGTTCTCTGTGATCCACAGAGTGCTGTGTTTTGCATTCAGTTGGAATATAAATGACTACACCTTTAGCACAGGTTGAGACACTGATTTGAGGTTATGTCACTTCCATTGCTACTGTTGTCTCTGCTATGCCATTTAAACCCAGCCGTTCTGGTTCATGGTTCTCTCTGCAACAAAAGAAGCATTCCATAATTACAGACAGAATACAAACATTTCCTTATGCAATTTCAGTGATTTCTTACAGGCTCTGTACTATTACACAGCCATTAGCTGGATCAAGGACAAACCTTAACACATGCACTAGACAGAAACAGACCATTTAAAACTAAATACTGGCATTTAACAATTGCTCTGACTCCATTAACATTGCAGTTCCTTCCACAAGATTATTAACAGAGATGGCCCAACTTCAATGCATTTAACTATAAATTACCAGCCCAAATTATGGATAATAAGAAGTCTCCCAAAGGAACAGAGTCAAGGTATGCCATTAGGACGTGCATAACTACCAATTATTCCATTAGTGAATTATTTTTTTTTCAGTTCAGTTTCAGCACCAGCACAAGAAATTCTAATTTCTTTCTGAATTTATTACCATTCCCTGCAGAAGAGCCTTAGGTCTGTTCAGCTAAGATGGTTCTTTTTCAGGCATATGCTGACTTGAAACACCCCTCTGACTCGATGGAAGCAAGACCCAAAGACACTAATGATACAGGAGCATACTTTAAAGCACTTGCTAACTTAAAAATAGCTTTTTCACTCTCTGCACTGTGACTATATTATACATGTGATTCTCCATCTTAAAAGCTCTTTTAACATCCCTAGGAATGTCATGAAGTAATCCATACTGGATAAAGCTAATGCTCTTTTTCTGCTTTTTAACCTATGGAAAAGTATTTCTTTTTCACTTTCAAAGCATCTTACAATCTAGCAGAGACCTTTAAAACAGAGCCCAAATACTGTCATTTTCAAAAATGCAACTACTAGCCACTGCCAGTCCTGTGGTACACTTAAGTATTGACTAAGTACTGGTAAATAACTATATTATAAATGCATATATAGCAAGATACAGGCTGGCTTATACCCGTTTTCTATTTTGAATTCAAGATGCGTGTACACACATGTATGGATAAAATAGATGTGCCAGCCTGCATCTTACATTATGGGCACACAGACCTGCAGAGAGAACATGTGGAGAGTTTGGAAGAATCTACTGGCAAATACTGCATAAGAAGGGACAAATAAAAATGGTTAGAATGAAGCCAGTTAAACACCATGGAAGATCACCAAAAGCGGTGTGCCCCAAACTGGCAGAAGTTATCTGGGTGTTCATCTGCAGAAAGACAGCACTGCATCAGCTCTTCTCTTTTGTCACAGTCACACTGACGATGCCAGCAGCTGCATGTTTTTGTGAGGCTGACAACACACCAACAGATCTCTTAGAGGGGGGGAAATGATTCTATTTCGTGCTCTCGTGCAGAGTTGGGCTCATCTACAGAGTCAATCAGGCAGCCCAAATTTAACTGGAATCTGTGCTCTAACTTGCCCTGCACTTACCTTGCTATACTGCTGATGGCACTGCTAGGAGTTACCTTTGGCACTCTGTCCATACTGGCAGCAACTGTGGCAAGTTTTAAGGCTGTTGGCGATGGTGCTGAAGTCCTTGTATTAATATGCACATTGACTGGAGAAACAACACTGACATTGTTGAGGTGCACTGCATTAGTCAGGCAAGAATTGTTCATGGGAAGTGTTTGAGGGCTGCTCGTGCACAACGCTGGAATTAAGTGGTTTGTGGTGGTGTGGCCAACTGTCCTTACAAGCTGTACAGCTGAAATCCCTGGGCTGGATGATAAAGCCATGTTGGTGGAGTACAACGTTCTAGAGGTTCCTGTTGCAAAGCAAATGTTATTAATTAAAAACGTGCCGTTTAGATTTTAAGGCAAAAGATTAAATCAATAGTAATGATTTAAGTGTATGAGGCACTGGAATCATCCCTGTGTTACCTGCTTTGAAGGTTCAAACAAATGAAAAGTTTTAGAAATGTTTCCAGTCAAACTTAGGGATATTTTAAGCTTTTCTTTGTTTGCTTAATTCACGAAGACATCAGAAGGTGGAACAGATTGCATTTTATATTTTCCAACTTTATGCGTCTCAATTTAGGTGCCTTAAATTAAAGTGCAACATTTCCTATAAAAGTACATCAAATGGGGCACAGCTTAGGCAGGCAACTGCAGAGAATGAGCAAGAAGCCAAGTTCTGATGTTCTGAATTGCCTCCTCCCTCATCTGACTGGCAACACCACGAGGTGCTGGGGACCAGCCTCCCTCAAGGCAAGAGAGTGAGGAGTACAGGACCCCTTTCCAGCTTACAGAGCAGTGCTGTCTGCACTCAAATGGTGGGAAAACTTTAGGTTCAAGTCCCTGCTAAAATCAAGCACAGCACATACTCAAACCAGTGGCTCTCAGGATTCCTCTTCCTATTCACTGATATAGTTTTAAGAAAATTAGAACTAAGAATATTTTTCCCTATTCCTGCAAAAAGCTGCTTTTACTTAATATGTTCTAATTTAAATCTTCCTATCTGAAGCTGGAATGGCTATTTTACATCACTGACATTTACAGCTTTGGAACAGTAACACAGGCCTAATTTTATACGCATATTTGCAATATTTTTCATCAACTCTAAATCTACTGCTGATACAAGGTACACACATACGCCTGATCCTGTATCCCTCAAAACATTACACTCTCAAAATTCAGCAAGTTACACACAGTTGCCTTTTTCTTTACTGGATCAGTTCCAGTATATTGATTTTATTCAGCTGTGTTGAGCCGTTTCTCCCTCCCTCCCTTATTTTTTATTAATTATTTCATCATTAACCCAGCCTAGCAAAAGGTCTATAAAACTAATCACATCATTAGCTGTTGAAACAACAAATTACTGTAAAAGCCTTCTACTAGTTATGACAGCCAAATTTCAAACACCATTTCTCTTAGTATCATAGCAACTGCACCAACATGACTGGCATTGTTTCTGAACCTCCCTGGCAGGGGGCAGCAGAGGCTGGGAGCAAGGCAGTGAATGCCTCCTTATGTTGTGACTGAATATGGGAGGAATCTTGAGGGTTATGAAACCTGGAACTTAGAGTAACATCAGAGGAGTTACTAGAAGTAGTTAATAAGCACAGTTTTGTTTGAATAAGCAAGTGAGATAATGATTGAAAAGCACTGCAAATTTTCTGCATTCTTCTTCAAGTACTTGATTTTCTAAGCAATTGGTGCCCTTCTTAAATTTCACATTCAGTCTCTTTATAAAATGCTATCAATTATCCCTTTGATTATGAAAGATTAACAGAGGAAAAAGCCTACAAGAGAAAATGAAGAATGTTCTTCCAGGGGTCGAAGAGCACCGACAGTTTTTATTGCCAAACTGATGCGCATGACATGGCATAAAAATATCTAACAGTAAGACTTAAAGCCTTCAGTAGTAGTAAAATATACTGAAATTTTGGAGATGGAACAGGATCATTTGGCACGTTCTCTGCTCTGCACAAGACCATGAGTTTTAAGAAATCATCACCTGAAGGCTGGACAACACCATTAATGTTGTTGTGGCTGGGGGTTTGTTCCTTCGTTGCCTCACTGCGACCAGGAGCAGGTGCACTGACCACTGCGGATGCAGCAAAGTGGGCACTGGCTGAATCAAGTGTTTTTGACATGCAGTCAGAGGTGCTGGAGCCCTGGGGGAATAAAAAAGTATTTTTTATTTCTTTATAATCATCCAAGTACAAAGTGAAGAACTACATCTGTTAGTGCATATGAGAAGTTTCCTCTAGGATGATTACTATGGCTGTAAGCTGTCTCCTCTGTCTCTGCATAGAAAATACATACTAACCTAAATCTACAGAACTCTCAGCATTCACAGCACATTCATTCCCATGGAGTAATTCATACCACAGCATAATCACCTACTGAATTTTGGATGTACAAACGCTCTCATACTTCAGCTTGGAGAAAAGAAGGCTGCTGGGTGACCTCACTGCAGCCTTCCAGCACCTACAGGGAGCCTATAAAAAGTAGGGGAGTCAACTCTTCTAAAGGGTAGATAACAGCAGCACAAGGGGAAATGGTTTTAAGCTAAAGGAGGGAAGATTCAGATTGGATGTCAGGGGAAGTTCTTTCCCATGAGAGTGGCGAGGTGCTGGAACAGCTGCCCAGAGAGGCTGTGATGCCCCGTCCATCCCTGGAGGTGTTCAAGGCCAGGTTGGATGGGGCCCTGGGCAGCCTGGGCTGCTGTGACACGGGGAGGTTGGTGGCCCTGCGTGTGGCAGGGGGTTGGAGATTCATGATCCTTGAGGTCCCTTCCAGCCCAACCATTCTGTGATTCTGTATCACTCTATCATTCTGCATATTTTTTTTATTAAGTCCTTTCCAAAGATTGGAGAGGTAAACAGCACTGGAAACTAGATACAAAATGCTTAAAAAATACCTAGACATCAGCTTTCAGATTTTCTTTATCAGACAACTAAGCTCAACAGAAAACAAACGTTCATCCCTTGCAAGGAATTACAGATGAAAAATGTTTAGAATTCAGAAGTGTGGAGAACTTGGGGGAAGTGGAGGGACTGGAAAAATCAAGTTAGATACATGAAACTAACATTTTCCTCTTAGAAGTGATGAGTTTTTAGTACTCTCTTGACTTCCATTCATAACAATGCATTATTACACAAAGTGGTTTTACTATGAAGTCTCTCTGGAGCACTTCTACACACACAGACACACACCAAGATAAATCCCATGACAATTCGTATCACTTGAAGGGCACTGGCTATTTTTACATGCACACAATTAACGCATTAAAACATGAAGTCTCTTACTCAACTTCTAAAACAAAGTCATGATACGTTACTAAAACAAGAAAATAAAACCACACACCAAGCAAACGCTGGAGGTTTGGGTGTTGAAACTTAAAACATTAGCTGATTCAAAGACAGAAGAAACATGAAAGGTATGTGCACTAGCTACAGCATAAATTATCTTCTGAGCACTATCAAGCAAACTGGGAAAGCATTTTGACCAAAACCCATTCTACATTCATTCCAAAACTTTATGTATTTATCAGATTGCGGAGGCATTCAAGGCCAGGCTGGATGTGGCTCTGGGCAGCCTGGGCTGTTGGTTGGCAACCCTGCACATAGCAGGGGGTTGGAACTAGATGGTCATTGTGGTCCTTTTCAACCCAGGCCATTCTATGATTCTGTGATGTTTAGCTTATAACAGAGATAAAAATCACAGTAAGCAAAAAGGAAGACAGGAACATATGACAATGTCAGGTACAGTACCTGTGCTTTTGGATGTGTCTGTTGCGAGGAATGCTGAGATTGTTGTTTCTGTTGAAGCTGGGCAAGTTGTTGCCTCTGCATTTGAACTAACTGCTGTTGATGTGTCTGAAACTGTTCTTCTGTGATACCCCCTGTTACTACAGAAAAAAAGAAAGGGAAGCCAGCGTTAAATGGGCCTGCACAGAACAACCACACCTCAGATGCAAGAATGGGCCAGTGCTGGATAACAAGTGGGTGAAAACATCTACTGTGCCAGATGCTTGCAAAGATCTTCATACATTGCTACACAACAGAGAGGCCAGGCTAAATTTGTTCGCTGTGTTCTTTTAACATTGATTCAATTCATAACAAAAGGATTCATAGCTTCCACAGTTTTTAAGCAACTTCTATCCTTGGGATAGAAGTTTTCTCTCCAATACCTTTAAGCAAAAGCTTATAGTTTTTTTGTTTTTTTTTGTTTTTTTTTGTTTTTTTTTTTTTTTCCCCCTGGAAATCAGGAAAAGAACACCCTAAAAATCACAGCTGAGGAAGATGCGCACTGGGCTGGGCTGGATATCTGCTCTCACAGTGAACACTTCCAGGTCATTACTTTAAAACTTCCCCTCCTTCAGGGCATAAACGCTGCCTTCTTTTCTGACACCAGAACATACTATGCAAAGGAAGCCTACGCCTAACACTTGAGCACACTTATGTCAGCAGTGAAAAGAGGTGTTCTGCAGCTGCTAGTGTAAGTGGGTCACATGTATACATAGTTGGAATCCAGCTCTACACCAATCCTTACTTGAAAGATTCAGAAACTAACACACAATAACAAAGCTGATCTCTGTGTCACAAATGTTACGAGGTATCACAAATCACTGGTTAGATTCATTTAGTATGACCTTCTAATTTCACACTTTTCTCCCCCTAAAGTAAATGCTGACCTGAACAAGACTTTCTCTATCAATCTGTTTTTCCTTTTAGAAGAGATGCTGAGTAACATAATGGCTTTGATCACTCATGAGAACTTGGTTGACACAACCCCAGTAGTATCACACTCCCAACAAGTAAGTATGGGAATGATGGAGTCAAGAAAAGCAGTTTTCAACATTCCTCCCCAACTCAAGAACTGCAAATATGATAATGTCAAAATACCAGCAGGCGTTGAGCGCTAAACCTGAGTTTTGTGGAGTCAAAGCAGCTCTGGAACTAAGTTCTCCCAGGAACAAATAAAAAGAGAATTCACTTTTCAAAGATTCCCATTAACTACATTTCAGCATTCTGAACTACATACTTTGAAGACCAAAGTTGTCATCCATCTCCAACACCTGGATGCTGCACGGATATCATTCATCTCACTGAGAGACAGTGAGACAACAGTAACATTGAATTGAGCTGTCTTTCAGAGCCTGACTCTTCTGTTCCCTAGCTGTAGTACTCACCCTTGTGCTGAAATTCTGAATAAGAGCCAAAATGCAGACTGACTGTAGAGGAATTACATGGGAAATTACTTCTTTAGTGCTTCACCATTAACACAAGCACCAAACAGGCTGGAAGAACACTTAAAAGGTTCAGTGAACTTACATTATTCACCCTATTAGATTCTTGGGATTTTATCATTATTTTCTACATATTCTAAAATAAATAAATAATCAAGCTTTCCTCCCCAATCAGCCATACTTAGATCCCCTCAAAGACTCTTCCCTCTTACTACAAGCTCTGAACTCAAAGTTCAGTCAGCTGAACCTGTTAAGCTTCCTCACAACAGCCTCCCAAAATGCGTTTCGTTACTAAAGGCAACAGAGCCAAGAACAGCATTATGGAACATTACGTATGTATGCAATTCTATTTTTAAGTTCTGAGGCACCAAATTCCATAATGCCTTCTGTTGTGTTCAAGAACAAGCCAATTGCATGCAGATAAACACCTTAAATGCATTTACCCCTAATTAGCTATTCTCTGTCTGCAGTACAGGGGCATTTATCTTGACTCCAAGTTGCTGAGTCAAACTGACCACCACCCAGTTTAGGGCTGGCCTACACCTTACATGCTCTCTCTCTCCCCTCCCAGTTTGACACAGGCCAGGAAGCCACAGAACACAGCTGCAGGGTACAGGGCTGATCAGCACAGCAGCATCCTAATTGTTTCTGCATTCATACTTGTCAGCTCCAGCCAGGCCAGTACCTATCAGCAGGGATTTACTCAGTCACAATAAACTCTGCTGTTAACCTTATGAAGAAAGCAGACACTCATTAGCACATCTACCACCATTTCATTTTGCCAAATTAAACTGAAGGCTCCTAAAAACAAACCCAACTTCTACAAAACTCCAAGGCAGCCTTTAAGGTCACGGCCAAGTGCAAGAGTTCTATACTTTTCATTAAAACTTCTATTGACCAGTATTTCAGTTTGCACTGCTAAATACTGGGATTTCTATTCAACCACAGTCTGCCTACATTGAAACACTACAAAACACTACAAAAAGTCTACATGAGAGTCTTCTGCTTTCCATCCCTAGACACCTTTGGCCTAGATTATGATGTCACTGCTCTTAGGAGCTTTAATCAAAGATCATCATTCAGGCTGCCCCACCAGAACAGTACCTCATTAATCTAATTACTTCTACGTGACATTTTATTCTCAACAGGATACCTCTAAAAAGTAAACGCCTGCTCCACATGTAGAATTCTGTACCTCAGAATGCCATCATCTCCAGTTGTCTTCTGTATCTATGGACACAGTAACTTAGCAGCCAGCTGTCTGAGTGGCTCCCAGGCACTGGCAGCTGACGCAGAGCGCTCTGGCAAATTGCTGAAGATTTTGCCTACAGCCTAATTCTCACTTCAGTTCCACAAGCAAGACAAGTTGCAGTCTAGGAATTCAGCCAGACAGCCAAGCACTACTTTGCCAAAGTAAGTTGTACCATCGACAAGTTCCTCACAACCTCCTTCACACACTGCTTATCCTCATCATCAGCTTCTCTCATTTGTTAAACAGAATCCTTCCAGAGCTGGCTTTGGCAAAAAGACCACGTTTGCTTCCCAGGTGCAGCATGTAAGCCTGCTGAAAGTTTACACAACTGATCAAAGTGATAAGATTGTTGTAGGGACCTTGTCTCCTTACTAGAGCACAAGCAGGAGAAAAACTCAGCTTGGAACAGAGGTTCTTTATTCACACACTGATTAGGCACCTTTATGACAAAACCAGTCATGCACTTAAGTCTTTGCTTCTGTTTGCACAATGCTTAGCATGGGGGAAATAGTGTAACAATTGTTTCAGCGAGACAGAAGTAAAAATATAAACTTTAAATACAAATAACCAAAGCGAGCATCTCCAACTCCTCTACAAACTAAAAAAAAGAACCTGAACAACAAAACTGATCATTCAGTTTAACTGTCATTTTTTCGTCCAGAGATTCTTTTATGCTCAAAGGTAAATCTGTAATAAAATTCATCTCTACAACCACCTCCCAAAAAGATCTGCCTTGATGAATGTGGCACCTATGTCCATTTAATGCACAACCACTTTTTGACTCATCCTTCAAAAATTCTCCCATTACTTACTATGTAGCAAATGCAAAACAGCAGTGCCTCTTCTTGGCTCAGTTACACAGTAAACAATTTTGTTGCTTTATTGCACCCGGTCCTTTCATAGAACTACAGGATCTGCTTTGTAGTCTGAATACAGAAACAAAAGAGTCTTCCCAACCCAAACATTTCCCTGTGCAGTGTACTGCAACTGCTGAGTAATCTCTGCTCACATCTGAACAGTCTTCAGACAGAACATCAGGATTATACAAAATAAATTACTGTTCCTCCACAAAGTAGCCTAGAGCCATCACACATTATACAGGTACTTCTCTACAGTCTCTACCATCACTACTACAATGTCTATTTTTTTTTTTTAAGCTCCAGAAGCTCAAATCCTAAACCATGAGCTCTCATTGATTCACCACATAACATCAGCATCTTAGTGCTTTAGTCCTACTGAATTGGTTAACACTCAACAAGACCCAACCCTTTTCCCCCACCCATGCATGGCTTCCTACCAAAACAGAAAGATCCTCCCTGTCAAGCCCTTCACTGCTCCAATTTTCATTCATACCTACAGTATGGATATTTCACAGATCTCTCCAACCTTTTTCTTTCACTCAGACATATCAGCTTCTACCTCAAAATACTCTCCTACTGTAAGTGGACTCCATCCTCAGGAAAAAAGTCTCTCCAGAGCAGCATTTAAAGCCTCAACGTTTTGCACCTCATCCTGAGATAATCTATTGATACTTACATTATCAGGAGAAATTCTACAGAAACACCAACTCTGCATGCATCTTTTTAAGCAACTACCCTTACCTTGCTGTCACCATACTTTCTCATTCATATAGAAACCCTGCAGTACTACTTGATCATTATACAAAGAGCTACCAGCAAATTCCTTGCTGGTCCAACCTAGCATACTGTCCACGTTCCACATGCTTAACTCTGACAAACAGCATTCATTTCTGTTGTCTGCATTTGCTTTCACACTGCTTTTCTTAATTCTTACCAATAATCCCACCACACAGAACCGCCCCCTTTCTGTTACAGGTGCAATTCTCCAGTCTTTCAAGCTCTTTACAAACAAGAATTATACAAGATATGATCATGACACACTGTCTATTCTCTTCATACAGCAGAAAAAAAAAATTCTCGTGCAAATCTCTTCACAGGAGAGCACAATAGAAAAGTTGCAATGATTACGCAGCAGCTGACTTTAAAAGAGATGGGCACCTTCCACATCCACATGATGTTAATTATGGGATTTAGAAGCAGCCTGTTGTGTCACCCAGTTATCTTCTTTTACAATACCAAGTTCTGCATGCACACAATAGAGTGGGAAAACACTCAAACACTTGTTGTGCTTGCTAAGAGATCTCTTCTGGCACATCTCCAACCGTCCAGCATTTTAAAGAATCATACATTCTTTCAGTAGTGCCAGTTTTAACATTGTCACTTGTTATAAATAAATCACTTGCTACATGTATTAGTTGCATTTGAGACTGCTAATACAAACTTAAAGCAATTTTCTGCTTCTGGTTGTTTTTATTCCAAGTTAAGTGATCCTGCATCCAAATCAATGACAAAGGGTGTACAAAGATGAGAATAGTGTTGCATATATTTGATAGTCTTGTGAAGATTCTACTTTTATTTTCTTAAAGCATACATGAATTGCCATCTTGCTCATCTGGAGCTGTAAGGTCACAAAACTGAATGGTAAGAGACAGCTGCATTAAGTGTGAGAGTTAGACATCAACCTTAAAGGAGGAGGAAATGCCCCATCACTCTTCATCTGTGCCTGTTGATTTTCTGATAATCAGCACAGCAAGGTGTATCACTGTTACAGTAAAAACTGCAACACTGGAAGCCTCCAGGTGTCAGCTTAAAACACTGTTTTGTGCCTTCTTCATTTCTGCTCCGAGACTTTACTGATTCACTACTGGTTTCTGGAGATGGTTTAGCACGATTTAGAGAACTCCAAAAACATCTCCCTGTCTCCACTGTTTCCCACCCACTCCGATACCCTCAATAAAACAATGGCTTCTCTTCTACATTCATAAAGAGCATTATTCACTCCTTAAACGAGGTGCGATAAATTTCATGTAGGCAATGCTGACATACAAACAGAATCCCTCCTTCACATCTGGCATGTTTAAGGCCAGCACTTTACCATGATTCTATCTAAACTGCAATTAAAGCAGGAGGAAGAGAACTTAAGAAAAGCCCTAAGAAATATAAAACAGTTACCCTGTATCACTGGGTTTAGCTACACATCATTAGTTAAGGTGGTATCAGCCCAGTTCCAAGAAAAAAAGCACCATAACTTTGTATTTCAAGTTCTGTAAGAATTTAAATCCTTCTGCCTACCTGATATGCCGTTCTTGCTGGTGTTCAATAAAGCTACAGATGCTGCAGAAACTCTTTTATTATTCACAGTCTGCCCTGGTTTCCTTGAGGTACATTCTTCACTATCGCTGTCCTGTAGATTTAGTAGCCTTGGCTGAAAACACTGCAGTCGACATGATCTGATATTGCTTAGTATTTCAGAAAGGGACAGTCTGTTTTCACAACGTTTATTGGAAGCATTGGTCCGTGAAAAATTAGAAGAAAAGTCTAAAGTCTGGGAAGAGCTTGAAAAACTATTCAGCATTTCCGGGTCAATCTGTCTCAAGACAGGATCATGTTCTGTGGATATTCGGTCCATTATAACCCTGATTTAAAAAGATGGAAAAAAAAAAAGTTAATTATGTTTCTTACATATGTGCTTTCATACTTCGGAGGGAAACAAAGGGTAAAAATAAGGCAATCCTACCTTCCACCCCTGCCAACTCGTCTTCTTGCAAATCCTATACATCTTCTTGGAATTGTAAGGGTTGTAAGGCAATGCCTGAACCTCAGTTTGTCCAATTCTGAATTTTCATATGAAGAATTAGTTTGGTCCAAACGAGGCTGCAAAGAATAAAGGAAAGTCCATTTGCACATTCCTGAAAATACAAAGTAGTCTGTGGTGTTCTCTACGTGATCACAATAGCAAGACACCTGCATGGCAGGAACAGAAGCAGATGCCAGCACACATCTGAGTTGTGCAAAGAACTTACAGCACAACTTGTGGGAGATGCCCATGCTCTGAGTACTCAGGGAGATTGTTTAGGCTTCTGGAGCAGACAACCTAGCAACTAAGTTCCCCTCCAGTGAGTTACAGGCAGCCTTAAAGACTACACAGTTACAAAACTTATTTTGCCATGCAACTTCACTTCTCTGGTGGGAAGTGAGCAAAGCAAAACCAGACCCAGTGCATTACATTGCTTCTGTTGGTCCTCCATAGATAACAGCTTCCCATCCACAAATCCATACTCAGTATGAAGTTTCACTATCCGTGGTTCTGAGAAGATGATGGAATGTTTAATCAGACTTTCTCCTCTGCTCACTGCTACAATTGCAGTGTAACATTCTTCCAACATATCCACAGCTTGCAATAATTCAAGAGAAAGATTTAACTACACAACAAAAATCCTTAACAGGTTAAATCTCTTTGCTTTTACAACCAGCTCCAAACAATGCCCACGTCTGAGAACTAAAACAAGTAGCAACCCATGAGCTTTATAAGCTGGGAACAAAGGATGCGATAGGAAAACCAAGGGGAATGCATGGAGGGGGTGGAGTCCTCCCATTCAAACAGTGGCTGAATTAGGCTGCCGTGCTTTGTATTGCCTTGAGGAAGTCAGAGGAACAGGTCAAGGAGAAATCTTCTTATAGAAAAACTCAAAGATTTTCTTTGTAGCCACCAAATCATCATGGTTTTCATAATGAAAGTGGGACTAAAAGTACTATTCCATTATCAATAGGCCAATGAAATCAAAAACAGAACACCCAAACACACTAAATGCAACAGCAGACAGCCTTACAGCATAATACTGGCATCCTGCTCTTCTCCTGAAGGCACAAGGTCCATCAGGATCATTTTCCTCTTCTGCTTCTGATACTGGTGAGGGTACCTAAGCCAAAAAGCAAAGTTATTCTTTCAACTGCCATGTGTATATAATACAGATATTAAAACACACAACTAATATATAGTGATCAATTGACTAATATGGTAAAAATGTATTTTTGTACTAGTTAGCATTTCATATATTTTATAAATACTGGTTTACATAATACAAAGTTCTCCAAAACAGTTTGGAAGATGAAACAAACTCAAGCAGCTTCTGCAAATGTCTTGCATGCAGACCAACTGCCCAACACACTTATTCTCCACTTCAAGCTATACTGTCCACATTCCAGATAGCTGAGTTCTCCATTTTCAGTAGGCTAAAAGAAATCGTAACAGACTGTTACCTGTGGGAACTCATCCTCATCTGAGCTGTGGAAGTCATACTGCTTGATATCACTCTTGTTGATAACAGGCAAGGGCTCAGCAGAGGGCTGTTGAGCAGTTACCACACACTCCATTTTCGGTTTCTTCAGATATTTCTTCTTCTGACGTACAACATCTGATATCTCTTCCTTTAGAGATGAATGATGAGGATGCTGTTTGTCAAAAACAGAAAGAGATCCAATAAATAAAAGCACGTACTTGATGTTGTTTCTGCACCCCATGCCTTAGAAAAACATGGCTGCTCATCTTCCGGAGCCTCTGTCCACTGGGGCAGCATGTTGAAAATTCAGATACAACATAACATTTATTCTAAACATCTGAAAACCTCAAAACTTTACTTCCAATCACCTTTATAGAAGCTTATTAGTAAAATGAAAGCTTTCATGCTCTGTGACTACATTAAGGGGTTCCTTTCTTTTCATCACCCTCAGGATACTGCAATTGGAAAGTCTGCTCCAATTACTTTCTCAGGCCTCAGTTTTCTATGCCAAGAAACTACAGCTTTCTTAATTGCTCAAATCTGTTCACAAAAAACATTTTATGTTTTCCAGCTCTCACATGGCTTATGTTTCTTGTAAGACTTCATGCTACTAGCTTTTGCCATGTTTTCATTTAATTTCTAAGATTTTGCTAACATAAATCCTCTCCAGCAAGCAAGTAAGCAACTGCAGCAATATTAAACTGTTATTTGAACACAAATGTTTTACAACTTCAAAGCTCTCCAATTAAAAATTACTTTCCCTTCCAAAATTTTCAATTAATGAGTAAAAGCCAGAGAAGTTCTCTGAGAAGCTCTTTAATTTTCCCCCAAATTATCACTTGTCAGTAGCTGTCTGACTGAAACTAACTCCAGTTCAGCTTCATAAACCAGAGATGAGAAACAGCAGGCGCAATTCCCAGCAGAGAAGTGAAGGCAGGGATCTGTACCACATTTAGTGACCACTGGGTGTCGCAGCTGCTAAATACAAACTTCAAAAGGGATTCAAACTCCCCAGCTTTACAGATGAGCATTTTTTGCACTTAAACATTTCCCAACAGCTCCTAGAATCCTCCAGCATTCTTGCTGTAAATCAGCAATCCGACTGTCTTTGAACTGAGGGCTAACCAATACTCATGGACAACACTGCAGGAAAAATGCAGTGCTCTAATCTCTTGTCAATGGAAAAAAAAAGTAATTCACTGTTTGCCATCTCAGTGTTGTCCCTTCACACACAGCATTGGTACTCTTGCATCACCTTATAATGGAAGGAAGAAAAAAAAATGTGAGAAGAAAAATGAAAACTAACACAAAGCTGTTGTTTGGTGGATGATGGCCAATTCTTTTAAAACTCAGGGGAGAAAAAAGCTAAATGTTAAACACAGCAAGCATATCAATCTGCTAGGCAGTTTTCTAATGCAAACACCTGCAGGGTACAGGAAACAGGAGACTTGAAGCAGAAGGAAAATTACCTTAATTTTACATTCTTGAACTTTGTGATGATTTCCATTATGAAGAGTGGATGCAGTTGTGCTCATTTCCTTTTCAGGTCTGTTAAGCTTCACTTCATTGAGAATTTCACCTCCATAATCACCCAAATGGTATCTTTAAAAAAATATTAATAATTAAAATGTAATAGAGAATTTCCACTGGCAAACGTCAGAGCGACAAGGAACAGGTTTTCATGCAGCCTCTTTGCCTTTCTGTTTTAGCTTCTCAAGTCTACATAAGCAATATTTGCCTTCAGCCATGCATGTGTGCAGAAGACGAGCATCCATACAGGAATAAATCACAGGAGCTGTTTTCAAACCTATTTAATGAAAAGTGAAATCTTAAGAGTTCTAAGTGACATCATTTGCAAACTTACCTTTTCTCTACAACTTCCAACGTTAAATGCAATAACTCGCGTTTTGTCTTCTCTCTCCTCTTAATCATCTCCAAAATTGTTATGGCTCTGCTAAACTCTCTTCTTAATTTCAGCATCTTCTCATAAGATGCTTCATCGTTCTTTCGATTCTGTTGAAAGATTAAGCAAATTTTATGTCAAAAGCAAAACCCATTGGGCATAACTGGCACCAGTCCAGCAAAAAAAAAAAGTTACATAATACTGCTCAGAGTGAGAGCCAATGAGATCAGGATGAACTTCTCAAAAAGCCCAATCTAGTTGGGATAGACAGCACAAAAAGCAAAAGAAAATCTTTTCAGTTGAAAAGGAACTCTTCAGTCATTTTCCCCACGTTTTCTCTCGCTCAGATTGCATCCCAGCCCAGAGGCAGCTCGTCAGAAGAAGGAATTCAGGACTTTGTGCCCAAAGGTTTTCTTTAACCCTGTTTCTGCACACGATAAGGTTGCGTGCATCTACATACACATTTATCATTATTCTGCATTCTGTATCAGATCTCATTGATAATGCTAGAAATACAAAACCTGAATCGTTTACCAGATGGTAAATGGAAGAGTTTCCCCTTCTTTCACCAAAGCAACATGTGAGCCTATAAATTACCCTTGGACTTCCAGCCTTCCAGGAAATTGTCACATTGTAGATAGACACAGAAAATTAACATGTTACAAACTGACCACATCATCTAACAGATTTGAAACCGAGGTGGGTCCTCCAATATTGCAACTACTGATACAGACAAACAACTGTATCAATAACTGCAGATAGCCACGCACTGATTCTGCTAGAAAGAAATCAAATCAAAATGGTTCCCAGCTATATAGGATTGAAAATGGCAAGTTACCTTTCTTGTCTGCATCTTCTCAGTCCTCCTCCGAAAGGCAACATAAGGGTCGTTGTTGGTGGAGCCATCCCTCTTTTCCTGTTTGATTTGGGGGATGAGGGATGGCCCTCTGCAATTCTTACGCTTTCTTACCCAGTAGTCATATACAGCCTTAATAAGGTAGTCATCCTCATTTAGCAGCAATTTAGCTTCCTGAAGTGTAACGAGCTGAAAGGAAAACGTGAAGGGCTTGAGATGGGGTAAAGCAAGGAGAAAGTCACCACACATTCAAATGCCTTGCACACTTCCTAAATAAACTCGATCCTTTTCTAGCCCAAGGGAGAAGAGTACTCACCTAAATCCAAACAGACTGTCCTAACTTAAACAGTCCCTGACTTTTCTGGATCAGCACGATCAGCTCTCAGAACCCTTTGAACAAGTCTACAACTTTGTCTACTCTTCGTGAAAATAATCACTTCTGATATCATTACAAGCACAGGGCTTAAATGACTTACTATCAAATCATAATCTGAAGACTAATCACTGACTTTTTTTTTCTTTCCCCTAAATAAAGAGGAAAACGCTTACTGGGGAGACATTACTAACATCCGACTGCTTGCAGTTTGATGTTGTATACAATAAAGAACCCTTCAGTGAAATCAAAATACGTTCTAAAGCAAATTGCCACCATTATCTTTTCCCCAAATAATTTTTATTTTGTGATAGAAAAGAACAATGATCTTCCATATTTATCACAACCCAGGGATACACAGACACTCATTTCTTACACAAGTCACTTCAGTGGGAGGTAGTTAAAACACAGGTAATTAAATAATTATATTCTTATCATGTGTTCTACTTCTATACTGAAATCATACCTAGTAAATGTAAAAGCCATCACTGAGTAACTAACATATGAGTTTAACACATTCAGATCTTAAACCAACTTATTAAATAAAGAAAATAATCTCTATTATTACTTAAAAGAAGCCTGACAGAACTTCATCTTCACCACAGTTTGAAGAAAATAAACTTGAATTTCAACTTGCAGTTTTGCAAGCAGCATTTCAAATTATGTTAAACCTTGTCTCTACGTTAGGATCATCAGAAAAAGAAGCAATACATTTAAGAAAAAGAAGGCCATCCTAAGTCTAACCACTGCTTCTGTGGAAGCAGTAGCTGCAGCCAGAATAAAACAAAACCCAATCTATAGCAGAAAGAGAACTAAAAAAAGGACCTGCTCATGGAGGTGGGTGAGGGAAAAGGAGGTTCCTAACCCCCTGTACTTATGACAACATGCAGCATTACAGCAATCCTGCATCTGTCCTAATGAGAACAGACATCAGCCTGGTTAATCAAACCAGTCTTCCGATTCTTGAATTTAACTTCATTACTCAAGCAATCAATAACAAAAGCAACATAAGGAGAAAACATGAAAAGTGTAACCAGCTGCTTTAACTGAAAGCCAGGACAGAGGTATCAACAGCAAAGCTCCACAGGACCCAAGTGCTAGGTACTCAACAAGCATCATTCAGTGTATTTGATTTTTTCTTCATGTAGTAACATCTCCTTACCCAACCCTCACTGAGCTCCCCAGAAGAGGCAGAGAACACAAGATCTTGCCTCTTACAATGTAACACCAAACTACATCAGGTTAAGCAACTGTGGCAGAGCTACAGATCCTGAAGTAGATACTTCACTCCTTCATAATGCCCACCTTGCTGAGAAATAACATTGTTTCAAGCTAACCTATCAGAACCTGGTCCTTCTCAGGTAGTTTTTGAGCCATGTTTTGGCTTTAAAGATCCTTCTCCAGACAGTGGTCTCCTGAAACACCTCAAGAACTTCACTAAAACATATTAGCCTCCTTGTGATAAAATAATTGGCAATTCATGCTTGCTCCTAGAGCATAGCTTCCTTTCTTACATCACTGCATTTTATACCACAAGGGTCCAATCTCAACAAAGGCTTTGCTTCACTGTCTGTGCTTCTAACCTTCAAACTGAAGACAATGCCCACAGTGCCAAGCCAAAAAAAAAAAAAAGAAAAAAAAAAAAGATTTGGATTCTGATATGCTCAGATCTGTACACCTACCAACCACTGTCAGCTTCTTTCATGCCAATACAGGTGAAGCAGATTCTTTCAGTTGTCCCCTTCTAATATATCATGGATGGGAATTAGAATTTAAAACCATCTCCTCCCATTGCCACTGCACACACACACCACACACACCACACCCACTCCTCCTCCTATTTTCCTGCTACCAACAGTGACAATAAGTGACAGCAGTGCAATTTCTGTGTGCCTGCAGTCACACAAGCATACTTCTCCAGTTAGCAGCACAATTGAAAAATGAATGAGAACTACTGAGCAGAAAACTCACAGGTGAGAATACTTAAGCCATTTGTTAACATAGCAAAATACCTGACTAGAACTGGCTTTTTCAAGTCTGTCAATCATTATTTCAAACTGCAGTGGCTTGATTTCCATCTTCCGATTTAGTCTGTTCAATAAGGTTTCATCCTCAGAGTCCATATCATAATCTGGCTGTTCATTGTCCAGATTAAAGGCTGAAACAAAAACACACAGGCACAAAACAAGTGAATACAGAAGCATGCATTCAATAGTCAGAAATAAAAAACCATCATCAATCAAATTAGCAGATCTCCACCATGACACTTCTCTCTTTTTGCTACAAGTGTGCCCACATGGAAGTATTAAAATAGTATTTAGAAGTTTCTCGTCTTTGTCTTTCTATATAAGGGCAAGTCTCGTTCTCTTTTAATGTGGTTTGAAAGGCAGAAAGAAAATAAAGATTTTCTTACAAAAAGCTATCATAGGAGCATACAAATTTTACTGTCTCTTAGCAAAATAAAAGCAAAAATGCTTCTTAGCAATATTACAATGCAACTCTTCTACAGGAAGCTCAACAATTAAGACAATTTTTAGTCAAATCTCATACTTACAGAAAAGTACTTAATTTCCATTGCCCATTTTAAAGCAACTCAACTAAATAACATTACTAAAATACTTCATAAAGTAAACTTGTTTCAAATACAATGCTGTGTAAAATCATAGAATGGCTTGGGTTTAAAGGGAATCTCAGGTATCATCCAGTTCCAAGTCCCTGCCGTGGCAGGACTGCCAACTACTAGATTAGACTGCCCAGGAGCCCAGCCAGCCTGGCCTCGAGTGCCTCCATGGATGAGGCACCCACAGCTTCTCTGGGCAGCCTGTGTCAGCACCCCACCACCCTCTGAGTGAAGAATTTTTAACATCTAACCTAAATCTCCCCTCTTTCAGTTTCAATCCATTCCCCCGCATTCTATTGCTATCTACCTGTATAGAAAGTCGGCGCTCCTCCTGCCTGTAAGCTCCTTCCAGGTATTAGAAGGTCACAATGAGGTCTTCCCACAGCCTTCTGTTCTGCAAGTTAAACAAGCCCAGCTCCCTCAAGTTTGCATCACAGGAGAGGTGCTTCAGCCCCCTGATCATCTTCGTGGCCCTCTTCTGGACCTACTGCAAAAGCTCTGCATCCTTTTTGTGCTGGGGACCCCAGCACTCTAGATGGAGCCTCATAAGGCCAGAGTAGAGGGGGGACAATCTCCTCCCTCAACCCACTTCAAATCCTCTGTTAATGCAGCCCAGGATACTGCTGGCCTTCCGGACTGCGAGCACACACTGCTGGTTCGTGCCCCACTTTCCATCCATCAGGACCCCAAAGTCTTTCTCTGTAGAGCTGCTCTCTAGGAGCTCATCTCCCAGTCTGTATTCATACGTACAATTGCCCCAGTCCAAGCGCAACACCCCACACTTGGCCTTATTGAACCTCTTTAGGTTCTCATAGGCCCATATTTCAAGCCTGTCCAGGTCTCTCTGAATGGCACCTCTTCCTTCTGCTGTACTGACTGCACCACTCAACTCTGTATCATCAGCAAACTGCTGAGGGTACACTCAAACCTTACAGTCCAAGTCACTGACAGAGACATGGAAGAGCACAGGGCCCAAGATGGACATCACTTGTTACCAGCCTCCACCTGGACAACAACCCTCCAGCTACAGCCATCCAGCCCATTCTTTACCCACTGAACAGTCCACCCTTCAAATTCATCTCTCTTCAATTTAGAGATAAGACTATGGTACAGGACCATACCCACAACCTTGCATAAGTCCAGTTAGATGATATTATTTGCCCTTCCTTGGTCCACTGATGCCATCACTCCAGCACAAAAGGCCACCGGATTGGCTGGGCACAATCTGCCCTTGGTGAATGCTAGATAAATTCTGCTGGGAAGTCAGGTGTTGCTTTTTCTCCAAAACCAACTCAATTCTAAATACACAGAATCATAGAATTGCTCAGGTTGGAAGAGACCTTAAAGATTATCAAGTCCAACTGCAACCTCACCATACTCCCAAACTCTAACAAATGAGAACACGAATCTTTCTGTATTCTACAAACAGTGTGCTCTCAACCTTACAGCAAGGCTCCTATCTTTATTACAGATCACCCTATTCATTCTCCACAGTTAAGCAGTGTTTCTGGCCCTATGAAAAGCACAAGTATCGTTCAGCTATCATAGCAGGACATTTCACGAAGAGCATGAGAAAATCCTGAACAACAATAATTCTTATTAGGTGCAATTAAAGTTTCATATCCAAACTCAGACGGGTGAAATATTAACCAGAACACTCCAAATAATTCAACCAACAAATAACTGTATTAGCAGCACTGAAGCTTCGTGGCCATACATTCTATGTGTATTAGACAACAAACCAAAGCCCCAACTTTTCTCTTTCTTCTTAAGTCACAGCTATACTTCAGCAGCAGCTTTGAGGAACTCTGCACCCAAACTCCCCGGTGCAATTTGAGGTGATGCAGGTAACAGCAGAACCATGAGAATAACGCTATAAAATAGCTTCAAGGAAGTCAGAGCATTCTGTTTCATATGGTACAGTCGACTAGTATGCAGTAACACATTCCTTCCACATAGCAGAGCAGCCTAAGAGTGCTTCTTCTCTACACCCATGCAATAACTTAGCCTTAACCACTGCCAGCATGTAAAACAATTTATTTAGCCTTGCACAAAAGCTGAAGAGGCACTCACACTCAGATACAACATGTCAGAAGTGCCAGGCAGCAATCCCTTACTGTTTTCAGCTGTCAGCTGCTACCTCCCTTCACTGTACTAATTCTGAGTAGCACTTAATCAGAAGACTTCTCTGGCTCAACACATACTGTAAACATGCTCTAAAAATATATTCCAAGAAAATAATATTACTACTACTGCAGTACAATTATGTTTTAATTGGATTATTTGTAGTGTTAATTCAATGAAGTGGCCATGCAGATGGTACGAAGGCACATTCCACTGTTATTGTGCCACAATTTTGTCCTGGTCTAGTATTAAATAGGGAGGTTGGTGGTCCTGCCTGTGGCAGGGGGGTTGGAGATTCATGATCCTTGATGTCCCTTCCAACCCACTCTGTGATTCTACTGGGCATAAGACCCACAGCAGCTCTTCTAAAAAACAAAAGAGAAAATCAACAGCGGCACATCAGATTGACACTTCTACACTTTGCACTGCTTGCATCCCACTGCTTCAGTGATGGCTGCAGAAAGCTAAAGTTGAGATAAAAACTAAGAATATTATTTAAAATACACAGCTCTGTAAGACTGTATTTATTTAAAAAAATAGAAAGAAAATCGCTCCAGTGTGCAGGGTAACAGCGAGTAAATAAACAGCCAGTAAATAACCATCAGCACCCATCCCCAGCTGCTCTTCACTGAGTTCCAGGAGTCCTGCCTAGCAGCTGGTGCTCCCCCTGCCATCAGTGCCCCATACTGCGCTCCACTCTGGACTCTGATGGTCTCAACTTGCTGCTTTCCCCAAAAAGGAAATTGCACAAGTTCCCCTGAGCCTATAAAACAAACTCAATCCTAACGTGCAGTGTAAAAATCACACTCAAGCAACCCCACTTAAGAGAGATAGCCTCTCTGGAAACCTTGGGCCATCTGTGCTTTGTGAGGGCACTCCAAGCACTACAGCAGGTCTGTGCTCCACAAGCTGTGTTGAAGCAGGTTTCCACGGATGATCTCAGAAGGCCCAGAAACCCATGAGAGCCCAGAAGAGGCACTGTTTGTTTACCCAAAGGCACAAAAACACCCAGCCCATTACCTGTCAGTAGACAAACCAGTAATTCCTTGTGAACAAAATGGTAAGTCAACTTTTTTTTTTTTTTAAAACCAGAGCATCAGTGAACATGGGGAGCATTGTGACAGAGGAGATGCTGTTCACCCGTAAGCTGGGAGCACTGCTTGTAAACCTGCCCTCATTTTCACACTGAGGAAAGAAAGAGTTGCTGGAAATCCCTGAGCCATGCATGTCCCAATCACTCTGCAGGCATGTTCAGCTCTGGGGAGATGTGAGTGGCTTTCTGCTAAGGGAGGGAGCTGAGCCCATTTGCAGATGTATCCAGCAAGCAGCAGGACCAGCTGGAGGCACATGGAGCAACCAGAAGTGGAAAAGGAGGAAAATCAGAACCTCCTCCTTTGGCTATTACACTGGCTCATCAGCTGTGCAACCACTGGTGAAATAACATGTCAAATCCACCTAATTTCACAAATAATTTGCTGATAAAAATCTCGGTACTCATTTCTGAGACTTGATGGATTAAAAAAAACTAAGTGCTGAAAAACAGGAAATAATAATCATTAAAAAAACCAACACAAAAGCAAAGCTCTACACCATAATTTCCACAAAAATATTTTGACATAATCAAAATGACAAGATACAGAAGATAAAAGGTATCCAATATGCACTTGTCAGGAGCACTGAATAAATCTAGTCTCATCTTGCTCCACAGAAGCATACGGGTAATGTCAGAGCAGCAGCAGCCTGTGCCACACACACTGCCTTTTATACGTTCTACCAATACTCTTCTTCATCAGGCAGTGCTTCTCACACTGTTTGTCATGACCTGTGCTTACCAACACAGCTCAGCTGAAATGAAAGGGAGGCTACATGGAGGCCACAGGTTAATGATGCGGAGGCAATGGAAATAACAACTGCATTCCAACAGAATGCATGATTATCACTCTTCAGCTGCTACATGCAATCACAAGGAGTTAATTAACCCCCAGCTAGCTTGCTACAGCTCTGGGATGCTCACCGAAGCCCCCTCTCTCCCTGAAGTTTGCCCACTGCTGCTCTTTCAAACACACTTAGTGACATCCTTACTCCTCATTTTTGCTTTTTCTGAGCATAGAGCACACTGCACTGGTTCCAGGAAAAGCCAGTTTCCATCCTGGAGCTGCCCTCAGTACACAGGTGTTGTGAGCTGCCCAATGTGGTCACTCACCACTCTGCATTTCTGCACCTACCATAGCAACAGATGCAGCTGCTCATTAATGCCTACAGAAGTTTGTGGACTACTAGCCTCAGTCTCAGCAAACATAGTATTTCAGACACCCTGCTAGTGGCTAGCATTTTAGAACCAACCAATGTGACAGTTCACAGTTGCAAGCCAACTTTCTACAGCCCTTTTTCCTGGTAGCTCTTGAGAGATTCTTGTGGCTGAGAAATGAATGTTGTTTTCCTACTCCAAAGCATCTGTCCTTCCCCACACCGCATGTTTATACGCTGCGCTGAAGAAAAGGGCCTCCACGATCCTATCACTAAGCCTCACCTCAAATAAGCATTCAGAACTTGTTGGCTTGCTAATTGCTGTTGCAAAACTACCATCCTAGTTTACACCCTTTGCCACTGCAACCACTCCTGATGACAGAAACTTTCACAGAGGGATTGGCTTTTATTTACTTTAGCTCCTCTACATATTAAGTTCATATTAAACTATGCAAATGCAATTTGTTTAGAAGTTAAATTACATAAAATAGGGTTCAGTGTAGCTGAATTATCTTATTTAGTTTACTTAAGAAAATTAAGGCTGTGGTTCAGCAGTCATTAAGCTGACCTAGGTGTGAGTTATAACTAAACCAAGCTCTTCCACCAGCTTTCCTCCCCAGCAGCCATGAGTTCTTTCACATTCCTTGCACCAACCTCAGCAACCACACGCTGAGCCAAGCCAGAGAAATGAGAAACCCACAGTCCACCTAACCAAAGCAAACTGAAGATAAGCCTACTGCCAGATCTGCTCCTGGGTTGCTCCCCCAGAGCACAGCTGCTTCAAGGAGGGTGCTGGCATTAAGAACCAAAGAGCAGCACTGATCCTGTTGGCAGCAAACACATCTGTGCTGACCAAATGCAAATGAAGAACCACATCATGGTAATTATATCCAAAGCAGTTAACAAACCAGCAAACCACCACCTCAATAGCAGGTCTGTCTGTAACACTGGAATGAACCAGAGCTTCCAGTGCTCCCCACCTGCAACACACACCTCCGCAGGCAGTACCATGCAAATACCCACTTTACATGTTGGCCTGCAGCCCCCAAAATGTGGAATGTGGAATTAGTTTTTTAAAAAAGCAACTCTAAACTATGAGAAATACACACTTTGTTAAATGTGATTTTTAATTTTAACAGAGTAACTAGGCTGCACCTCACACAACATAACAAAGAGTATTCAAAACTGCATTTGAAAAGATCCGGCTACATTACCTACAATAAAGCATTAGATGGTTATCATTACTCTTTTTACTAAAACAACTTACATGCAATAGTATCAGCTGCAGGACCCCCTCTGGGGTGTTTTTTTATTGTTGGTAGTGGGTATTTTTTGTGTATGTCTGTGTGTGTGTCAGCAAGAAACAAACTTTCCTCTAGTTTGAACTAGTGGTACACATAAAAGAATTATTCTAGTAAAGATTAACATCCTCATCTATAAGATGAGCTGCAAAATTAAAGGTTATTCATAATTTCTTAGTAATAACTACAAACACGGAATGTAGCACACAGCCACTTGTCACCTCATGGTTTATGTAGCTTCCACTGCCAAAGCACGTACTGTTACTCTTCTTGCTTTCAGCATTAGAACAACTGCTAAACAGTGACCACAAGCCAAGCATAAAGCAGCTTTGTATCACACCTACTGCAACCAGGCTACATTGGAAAACTATCCTGAAGCATTACCTGATTTTTATTTTCAGCTCTAATACCTTCTATTATGTCCCCAGAACGATCAAGTCTTAACAAGACAAAGCACACGACATTATATATATTTAACACTTTTAATCCTGTTTGTTAGCAGCATTAACAGCATTTCTGGCAATGTCCAGAAAAAAAACGCAGCTTTGTTTCAGTTTAGTCAACCTGCCCTGCTTGCAGGTTTGTTTCTTCAACTGAAAAAAGAGAAGTATCCATCTCCTTTAACTCACATCTTACATTACCACCATTATCTCTAATGTATCGTGGAGGATCTTGAGCAAGTTATTTCCAGAAACCTTTTACTTTGTAAACACTTAGGACAAATAGGGGACTTCACCATGCTAGTGAGAAATTACCTAAGGATCCTCAGTAGACATCAATGTTTGGGCTTAAGTATCTTTGCCTGACTTCAAGCTCAGTTGCATATGTAACAACAGCAGAAGGCAGACAAGCATAAAATGCTTTCTCTGCTCCAATCTCCTTACAGATAGCAGCCTCTTCTTGGAGACAGCTAAAAAACGTGATGAACTGCTCATCAACACTTCCCAGCAGCGTGTCTGCACAAAACCCAGAACAAGCAAGATGAGTGTACTTCCTTTTCTAGATATTCCAGCACACCTCTGTCAACCGTCTTTCCAATGTAACCACGAAACAAAGACATGAACTGGTGATAAGAGAAGTTCTCTCTGCAGAAACTCGGCGCTCAACTTGTGCTTCAACACACAGAGTGATAAATCACTGCAATAACTGCATCTGAGGGTGTGCTACAGAGATTAACTCTGAGGGAAGTCCAAGCCACAAAACTACCCCCTGGAATGACATGCTGCAAAGGACAAACATGACTCCCTGCCAAGGAACAACTATGCTACTGAAACATAAACGCTTGTCAACTGAACACCCAGAGACAACTATGATTAATTAATTAGGTCTTTAGATCTTTTGAGACCCAGTTCCCCACAGAAAGGAAAAAGCTTTAGCAAAATAAGAGGAAAACACAAGAACTCCTGCTACGCCCAAGCAGTGGAAAAGTAACATATATTACAGCAAAAAGCCTCACCACTAGCCTAACTGAAAATAAACCTTCCAGAACTTTGCTACAACCAGTAGAATCAAGGCTGATTTCCTTTCAAAACCTCTTAAATTTCATCTCCATTTATACTGAACTTCTGAATTAAAGAGTTTTGAATCAATTTTTGGATTGACAGAAGACAAGGCTTGCCAGTTACCATACTTCAACATAAAATCAGTACAGAGCCCATAAACAAATACAGTAGGAAAAACCTCACCTTCATCCTTACATTCTCCCATAAACTTACAAGATAAACTGGAATTTACATACACAGATCCCCCCGGGTTTCTGAGTTCTCTCAGTTACTCAAATTGCAGCAACATGGTCCCTGAGCTTGTATGAAGATTAGTTAATTTGAATTAAAGGAAGAAAAAAAAAAAAACCACAAAACCAACATTCAGAAACTTACGTTGAATGTGAATGAACTGCTTTGGTTGCTTAAATTCTCCTTTATACAAACGATTGTAATAGTTCACATTGCTCTCTGCTTCAGGAACTGGGATAACCATGCTCTCTTTCTTTTCTCTGAAAACTTGTTGTGCTGAGATAGCCCGTTGCAAGTGATGTTCCTGCAAGACAAAGTGAAGAGTTTATTTCACAGAAGTATTTACAAAGACAGTCATCCCACTCTCCTACTCTTTCCTCAGGTTTGTACGCAAATTCCAGATAAGAGAGTCAGGCTTCCCCATATTTTAGAGGACAGCAGGATGTTTGCTTTCAAGTTAGTGACAAGAGATGGATTCTCCACACCCAGGAGCCTAACAGATCTTAGAGCTCTGAACAGATAGCTGCTCAAAGCACAAACCTCCTACCAGACCGTGGAAAAGTCACTCCAACGACACAAAACACCTGTTTGGTTCATATCAGCTCTGATTCCCTAACTCATTAAAAGTTACCATGTAGAGAATGTATGTAAAACCAGTTAGCATATACATTAAGTCCTTTAAAGCATTCTTACAAACAGTATCACATCAAAAGAATAGCTAATCCCCTCGTTCCAATTTTGCCAGCAGTTCCTACGAGCTTGTTTCTTTAGAAGTTCAGACAGTTAAGTGACAAAGCATCCTCAAAGTGAATCACTTGAAAACATGGACTACCTAAACAGGTATCACTTCATTCTCACAGGACAGAAGACAGAATTGCCATGGAATCATTTCAGGTGAAAGCCTCGCAGCTTAGCGACTCTTCTCTCAAGGAGCCAGGAGCCCGCAAGCATCCTCCTCCATTTCCTCCGTCTTCCTGGACAGCTGTACTCTCACTTTCAGCTCCAAAATTTGAGAGAAAAGATGACATAGCAGAAAATCAACTCAGAAATCCATTCTAAAGCTCAGCTCTCCCCAACCTACACAACCTTGCTGTGCCGGCTGCAGGGGCTTCAGGTTATCTTCCAACCATTCCCATTCAACCAGTTGCTAGGAGCAGAATAAGCACAGAATCACAGAATGGCCTGGGTTGCAAAGCAGCACAATGCTCACCCAGTTCCAACCCCCTGCTGTGTGCAGGTCACCAACCAGCAGCCCAGGCTGCCCAGAGCCACATCCAGCCTGGCCTTGAATGCCTGCAGGGATGGGGCATCCACAGCCTCCTTGGGCAACCTGTTTCAGTGCCTCACCACCCTATGTGTGGGAAAACTTCCTCCTAATATCCAACCTAAACCTCTCCTGTCTCAGTTTAAGACCATTCCTCCTTGTCCTAACTCTATCCACCCTCATAAACAGCAATAAAGCTTCTAGTGCTCTCTTTCTGGCTCCCTGAGGGTACCCTCCTCACCTGCAGCTGCAGGGATCACCCTGACTCACATATGGGACACATCCCCAGCAGAGCAGCCCAAGCTTCAGCAGATTCTGCATCACGTCTGGTGCAGAAATTGTCTCGAGAACAAGACTTCTCCCTCTTTAATTCAGCAGAGCATAATTTACAAAAAGAGCACTGAACAAAAGCCTATCCTTAAAAATACATTGATGATTTTTTAAATGAATTACACCCTCTTAAATATTAAGACATCGCAGAACTGAAAATAATGCAATTTCTGCAAAGTTAGAATATAACAAATCAGTGACTGGAAGAGCAGCTTCGGGAATCTCCGTTAGCAGATGAAGCAACATTAAATCAAACCATCAGGCTCCCAAGTGAACGCTACCAGAATTAAGACCGGAGTGCGATCACATATCTGGCGCGACGTGCTGGAGTTAAAACACGCTGAATAAATCTGTCATTCCAACCACGAAGCTGTCTGGGAAAGCTTCACATTGCTGAGCAGGTAATTCAGCTGAAATAAAATTTGTTTCATTACTGAGCTGTTTTCTGTGGGCATCCCTGGAGTCGCCTGCTAACCGCACAGCGCAGTGCTGGCAGGGAGGGCACATGGAGGCTGCCTGTGCAACTGCTGCCTCCGGTAATGAACGAGTAGATGAGTAAATAAGGATTCACTTCCATGGAAAGCAGGAAAGGAGGGCACACAGCAACCAAAACTCAAAGCATGCTGAGGCTCTGCGAGCTGCTCCATGGCCCACTGAACAGCACAGATGAGTAATTCCAGTCTCAGTTTCCATAACACTGCTGGTAGGTGTGCAGGGAGTTCCCAAGGAAAGCCTGAAAATAGGTGTCAGTGTTCACTTCACTATACAATGTCTTCAAGCATGACACAGCCTTCAAACAAAGAGCTCTGGAAGCACTACTGTCACTCAATCAGTAGAGCTTCCAAAGAAACAGGTACACTATATCATTTTTGCAATCAGAACTGAAATAACTTTCTACTGAACATGAAGTTAAGGAAAATACAAATTCCAGCCCTAGAAACTGTTCTGTTCAAATGCACCCTGAAGATACATAAATCAATGAGTCTAATTAAATGGCTTGACTCAACCCAAAGACAGTCTTTAAGGTCTTAACAATGCATTTAGCAACCAACACACAGTGCACTCTTTTGCCCTCTTTTTCTCTTGAAAGGAAATCACCACCTGTACCTGGCTCTGCAGCAGGGGAGATGCAAAGCTCTCACACACTGAGGGAGCAGGAAATGCAGAACGTGCTGCCGTAGGGATTAAAAGGAACATCTGTCAAAAAGTCCTTTATCCTTTAAGTTCACACGACTCTTTCCCACAGCACTCCCCTGAAATAGTTTCATCATACTTTCAATAAACGCTCTAATTTTCTGGCTGAGCGTGTTTGGATCTCCCTGTGGTTAAACACCATCCTCACACTAAAAAGCTGATCTTTGTCTTTATCATGAAACTGTAAAAAGCAGTTCCTTATTGGACACAGTTCCCTCGGAGAAACAACTTCAGGACATACTGAATACAACTGGTCCCTTCTTCATCCCTTCAATTACACCTCGCAGGCAACAACCAAGCACTTCCAAACAAAAGCTATGTCACCACCTTTAGACTACCTGTCCCATTTTTTTATTGTTGTTTTTGATTTTGTATATACATTTTTAATCTGACAATCACACCTGCTTACATCTGTATCTACCCTGCAGGGCAGAAAGGCAGACCTGGGACAGCATGATGCAGTACTATAGAGCTTCAGGTCACACCATTCTCCTGAGGTATTCCGAAGACAGTTGACTTTAAGGACAGAAATGTTACCAAGAGGAACAAAGCACACCCCAGCCTAGCTGTTAACATCAATTCTTCTTAAGCAAATGCCTCTGACTCTATTGCAGCCCACTGCAATTGTAAGCACGATGGCAAAGGAAAGTGAATATGGTAACAGGTTCAGCTACTCTGAATGGGTTTTTTCTCTGCTAACCCTAGAGCCACCTTCCCTTTTACCTCCAACCAAAAAAGGAATTAAACAAGAGCAGCATGAGTAAATCTTACCAAAGTCTAGTCAGTTGATTTGCCCAACACCAGATGCAAATCAGGAATTGCTATCAGTGAGCATTTTTATATTTAACATACGCATTCAGAAACAGAAGTTTTGGTATGAGATCAGCAGGCTCACCTTGCAAGTCTCAACCACAGTTCCAACAAAAAGTTTCAGAGACATCTGTAAACAGCACCTAAAGAGCAGTGATCTGAAGCTCAAAGGCTATGCTAACCAAGTGCAGCCCTGCTGTAAGTGACAGCCCTACCTGCCTCAGGAACCACAGGCACTGACTCCTCTACTCCTCATCACTGAAGAGCAAGCAGGTACCCAAAAAAGCCAGGGTGCCTACAGACCTTTTTTTCCTTTCTTTCCCCCTCTTCTGACCTGGGAAGGAAAGCAGTTACCTGAAACAGTCACATACACAGCATGAAAACACCACAGAGATTTTCAGCCTCGAGACAGCAATGAATATCTTAAAGAAACTCATAGCTTCATTTATGATTTATTTTGAAAAGCAAACACTTTAGTGAATTAGCATATAGAGTTGTTTGGGCTTTTTTGGTCCTGATCCAACAGAATCTGTTCAGTCATCTGTGCTGTTTCCTCAGGTCATGGTTTCCTCAAAAGGTTCTCTCTGTTACAAAGCCATGTGGAGAGCCAGGCAGACACAGCATCCAAACCCTGTACCCAAAGCAGCGTGCTTTACAGGATCAAAGCTCCTTCCCCAGCTGCCATGCAGGGTTTCTGGCTGGCTGTGGGAAGCAGCTCCAAAAAGCCAGCAGAAGACAGCGTGGTGCTCCCTGCTTGCAGGTGGAAAGGGCTCACAAAACCACTTAAGTTCTCTGCTGGCCAGGCCGTGTTTTCCCAGTGCAAACTCCCCCAACTTCTCCTTTCACAAGAATCATTCCCCACTCCCCATGCTGTTTTGCCTTCCTCACTGCCAGATTACAGGGCTACAGGAAAAAAACCAAAACCATATTACTAACAGGCTGCTGCTACACACAGCCCAATGAAGGAGGGCAGCAATGTGAACCACACTGCATGATTTCACCCTACAGACTCACAGAAATCCCCACACTGGGTAAGATTTGGTAAGATTTTTATTATTTAGCTACTTAAAAGGCATTCTATTTTTTGTCCCATGTTAATAAAGGACCAATAAAAAGAAAAAAAAGAATCAGCAACAACACGTCTGTCATTGTCTTCCCTTCTCCAGCTCACAAGCTCCTTCTCCAGCTTCATGACCCACAGTGTCACGAAGCAATACCAGTCACAGCTGGAAGCCAAAGATGAGCTGCTCTCTTTCCATGTGCACCTTGGGGACAAACCCCCTGGAAACCACCTCAAAGATGCTGATGGAGGCTGAAATGATACAACACAAGGGCCATGAGAAATACCTGAGTGAGCTCAACTTCCCTGGACAACGCTTGGCATCCAGATACACGGGTCTGCAAAGGAGCTGGAGGAAGGAAGGGAAAAAAAAGAGAAGGAAGGAAGGGGAAAAAAAAGGAGCATTTTGTTTCCAGGTGCCATTGCATCCCTTTTAGAGAGAACTGTTATAAACAGTTTAACGTTCAGTAAGTGTATTCACTTAGCAGCTTGTGATACATTTGCATGCTCAGCATATAACAGGTGTAACACTGAACAGAAAAAAATGCAAACAAATTGCAACCAAGGAATTACTGTTATTTTCTTGAAAGAGTGCTTCCACAAGTGTAACTGATTGCCCAAGTCAGACAATCAGAGATGCAGAGGTGAACACCTACGTGTCTTATCCTTAATTTTTTAATGAGATTATCCTGCAATAGTAGTTATAAGACTGAGATTTCACAATGAGCCTTCCCCTCTACTTGTTCTCAAGCTGGGTATCAAGAGGCAGGAATGCTTACTGCTAACATGACAGACATGCATTAAAAAAAATAAAACTGTTCCTGGTGTCAAGAGAGCTTACTGTCCTAGCAATGGAGCTACCAGGAGCTTGGGTACAAAAGCAATTTTATCTTCTTCAGAGACACAATTACCTGGAATGTTTCAGATCCCATTTCTGCATTCAAGAAGTAGGTGCTTACTTGCTTGCTCTCTCACCAAACTCCGTGTTTTGTTCTTGTGCTGCTTTTTTCCCCAGAAATAAATTCCTACTACATAAGAACCATCACCAGGAGCCTTTCAAGCATAAACTGCCTCTGTTATGCAATTCAAGGTGGTCTGGCAGACGAGAAGCGTGAGCCTCCACAACAGAAATGGTAGAACGTTGAGATAACCAAATGACAAATCAAAATGTAACAACAGAAACCAACCAGGGAGAAGGGGCAGAAAACACTTATAAATACACCGACTTTGTGTCACAGGGGGATGTGATGAGATAAAAGGAAGGGAACAATCCTTCAGTGATAAGGAGAAGTGTCAGGGAACTGACATGTAACAAAGGGGAGGACGGCCTCCTAGGGCACACCATGCAAGCCCTCAATCCTTGGGATTTCAAATGACACAGATGTAAGAACACACAAAGAAAACCACTGCTGAAGTAGGTGGATTGGGGAGGTATTGGGGAGGTGTGGAGCACACCAGAGGAGGAAGAAATGAGGTCTTTTCCACCCCTTTTCTCACCTCCTTTAAGAGCAATAATT